AGATTGTTATATAAAATAATATAAAATATATGTTATTTCTCATAATCTGTTATTCCCCTTCTTCGTTACTTACGAATTCACTAATAAACTTCTAAAAACAAAAAAAATAAAGGCTTAATAAAATTTTAGAGTAGTGTTGAAAGTTAAAGTAAAGTCCATACTTTTTTTGTTTGAGGAAAGGCAACAAGGCAAAACCTTTTTTAAATTTTATAAATAATTTAAGTTGAGTTTTAAATTCAGCTCTACCACCTAAAAATTTGGTTTAGAGTTAACCGGTGCCATAAACAGGTAAGGCAAATAAAGGATTATTTTAAATTTTATTTCAACATTTTTTATTGGTGATATGGAAGAATACAACACTGATACCGAATCATTAGGTCGACTTATTACTAAATAGCTGCCTATTATGTATAGACTAAATATCCAAAAAAAACATAACCAAAAAATAGAATAAAATAACAATACATCCAAATATTTAAAACAGACCAAAATAGGGCATCCTAGCTTAAAAGCTTTTATGCCTATACTAAAAAGCAATTAAGTATCCAAATAAAATCGAACCAGGATACAGCGTAAAGGATTGGTTTATGGAGAAATATGCATTTTACAAAAGAAAAAAGTGAACATATAAGATATAATACTCAGCCAACTACTTAGGCTTATTTGAAAATGAAAAAAATTGCTTAAAAATGATGTGCATGCTAATTTGCTGCCATGGACAATAATAATAATCTTTAGTGGTGTTTAGTCCTTATATTCAAAAACTCTTAAAAATAAATTTGCAACAGCGATTCTTATATTTGTAACTTTTTTTAAAAAAAGATATATTATATCATAAAAGGTTTAGAAGGTATTTTGCATTTACTTAGTAGTTTATAAGAGAATAGTTAATTATCTTTTATAAGTTTCATAAAAAAAATTCTGTTTAAATGATAAAGTTACTTTTTGGAAAAAGTTATCTTCCCTGCTCCAACATACATTATAGAATAAGAATCTACCGACACACTTCTTTAAATTTAAAAATTTTTGTTTATTAAATTTAATAAAATAACATAATATATAAAACTATATTAAAATAAAAGGGTGTTGTAAATTTAACTTTATTACAAAAAAAACTTGACGCTTTCGATTAGCGTTTGTGACTTCGTCCGTTGGCGTAAGCAGCGGGTAGGGCAGGGGGACAAACCCTTCCCCTTCCCAAAGCCAAAAAATGCAGATGCCGGATATATTTTTCAAAAATTATTGTTTATATTAATTTATATTTGTTAATATTTATTCGTATCTCATTAAATATATATTTAATTACATTTATTATCACATTCATAAGTTATTTTATCAATTAATTTCGATTTCAAGTTTTCCGGCGTAATATTTACTTATTATTTTTAAATTTTTAGTGGCGTAATATTTATCTACCATTTTCAAATTTCTAATCAATTATAATTATTTCTGAAACTTCTGGTCCAAAGGGAAAAAGAAATTGCAACCTTGTCCAACGAGATAGTCTCTGCCATCAAGCAGTAACAGCTTTTAAGGTAGAAGAGCCAATTATTTGCTATTACTGAGATATCACAATGGCCTGAAAGAAATTATTCCTCAGAAACAAGAAAATTATTGGATTCAATGCTTATTTCTCATTAGGTATTATTTAATTATACAACTATTTTAATTACTACTTTTCAAAAACATGACATTGACTTGATTAAGAAGATGAGAATAGCGGAGAGCATTTTATCAGTCAAGGAAATTAGGACTAATGTTGATGAAGAATTTAATATTTTATTGTTGAGTCAAAAGCAGAGATATACTGTTTAATATTAGTCTCCCTCGACTTGTAGCAAGGCAAGCTCATCGTTAAAACATTAATATAGGATCAGTAGAAGAGTATATCTTAGATACACATACAATTATAACTCATATAAACGAATTTTTAATTCATCATGCAGCACTTACTAATCTGCAAATATTACATCCACAAAAGTCTTCCCAAAATGATAGATTTTTATTATGAAGATGTTATCTTATGATGTCTTACTAGCCGAATAACTATGTTTATAAGATTAACTATGGTTGATATAGTCAAAAAATGCTATGGATGCTCTGCATTATTTCAAACACATTTTAGATTAAATTCTTAATGTATTAAAAGGGTTTATAAACTCTTCCCATTAATATAATAATGAGAGAACATTCTCTTTTTTAAGAAGAATAACAGAGGCCTGCAGAAATACCATTTACAGGGCAAAGCCCGGATTTTTAAAAAATAAATTATATTTATTTTTGATTTTTATAGCTAATAATAACGATTTCAAATATAGGCTGTTTTAAAAAATACAGCCCGGGCTGGGTGTTTTTTTAAAAAATTTAGATCCCGGCTATATTTAAAAAAAATTAAAATACTGTTCGGCCCGGGCAGGCCTGCAGATTTCTGAAAAACATACCAAGGAAGTAGAACATCTGAAAGTGAAAGGTTTGGATCTTTTGAATATTCATAGGCATTTGACGACAAGCAAGGATGAGATAATTAAAAAATTAGCTCAATCCCAACGAAGATTGGATTTTACATTGTAAATATATAACATAAAAAATACAATTATTCCTAAGAAACCTTTTGTGTAAAGGCTCAAATAATTCATATATCTATTTTGGGTCATTAAAGTGATTCTTTACATATAATTTTTTTATAATTTACATTAATTTAAAATTGTGTATTAGGAATAGTTATTAGTCCTAATAAATTTATGCTTTATATTTTTATAAACAATAATATTTCTTAAAAAAAATTTATTATCCCCCCCCCCCCCCCCCAGACCAAATTCTTGCGTACGCACCTGACTTCGTCGGTTTAGTGCATGCATCACAATAGTTCTGAGTTCGAATTCAGCAAGGATGTTTCTTTTCTAAAGCTGGTTCCGTACTTGGAGGGGGTCTGGGGTAGTGATATGAATTTGATCCTCGACTACCTTATTCCTTTGATATACACTTAAAAAATAAATGGATCATATCGCATTTTAATAAATTTCGGTCGTTGTTTAGCAAGTGAACTAACGTCATATATCATTACCCCAAAATAAAATGTATATATTTAAACAATTTATAACAAGAACAAAAATAAAAACAGGAAATTAAGACGGTTATCTGGGTTAATTTAAAATTTAAAAATGGAAGCATGATCCCCTATGAATTTGAGAATATTTAATTAAAATCTTATTTTTTGAAAAAATGATAGCTTAGGGACCCATTTGTAGAAATAACTATTGGGATAAAATCGAAATCTGAAAAGTCGTGATATTTTATAATTTTTGACATTTCGGCTGCAATGATTGGATCAATGTTTTTATTAAAGAAAAAGTGGTAGACACAAGTGAGTTTTTAAGTCCATATAGTCATTTCCTCATGTAATATGTATAGGTTCTAGAAGATTTAGATATTTAGCCAACCCTAAATTGCTCGAGATTATAAAGTTAATAGCTTTGTAGGATAAACGGGTTAGACAATGTCGGACTCTTGGGTATATTTCTTTTTATCGTATTAAGAAATAAAAGGATCATCGAGATTAAGCTTATTTATAAACTACATGAGAGCCACAAAGGTTATAAGGCACCAACAAAGGGCAGATATAACCAATATCAATTTTAATTTATTTTAAAAATAAAATAATATTTATGGTATAAATTATTAAATTGATAATTTGCTTCCTTTTCGAAGAATAAGCAATTCATTAAGTAAGTTTGCGTCTGGCATAGGAATAAATTCTCTCGTTTAAAATTTTTAATAATGATATGGGTAATCAAAATGGCGTTTCCAGCTGTTTTCATTGATGTACACTTTTAAATGCATCGTCAGTCTTGGTATTATTATATATCTTTTTATCATTGATATATAAATCAAAGGTAAAATATCATTTTTTTTTTGAAAATAAATAATCAAAATGAGTCAAAAAGGGAGAACACGATGGGGGGGGGGGGCAATTTTAATTTATTAGTCGAAATCAAAAAATTAATTAAAAAAATATTTATTATTTTGCATAGCCTAAAATGTCATCAAAAATTATTTAAACTGATCTCTTTTAGATGGTTAAATAATTTGGTATCATCAGATTGTATCGCCAAAAAATAAAATATCTACTGATACAAATAATGATGTATAGTTTCCGGTTTATATAAAATTATGCAACAATAAATAACTTCCGCTTCGAAAATACCCATCTTAATATGAAGTCCAAAGGCCACCAAGCCGGAAACGCGGCCTGGGTGAAAGATCGTGTTTTTATTTATTCAAAAAATTATTTATCGTTTTTTTATTGTAAGAAAATTTCGATTGGACACGTTAATTAATCCAATAAAATATTACTAGTTAACTGTAGTTACATGATTGTAAAATTATTTTTATATTTTACTGTTTGAGGTCTTAATTTAATATTATATTATGTGCAATTAATTTTAAAATTATTCTGTTTGAGGCGTTGATTTCATATCATACTATTATCATATTATGTTCAATTGATTTAAAAAGTATATATTTTGTCTGATGATATAAGAAGATATATAAAAATTCGATATTATAAAATATTAACAAAATTTCTTATAAAAAAAATAAAATTCTTTCAACCTGATTTATTTTTTCATATCAATTCTAAACCTTTCCAATCAATACTACCACATCCCAAGCTAATACCTATATTATCGAAATCTCGAGACTTTAGCAATATTTTTCTGGTTAAAATCTTCAGCTAGCCGTTTTTAAAAATTGACTCAAAACTAGCGGTTTAACAACCCTAATAAATTGTGATGTTAAAACATAATCTAATATTTTAGGAAAAAAAATATATTATGTAATCGTGATTTTGCTCATTGTTGGAATAAAAGTTTGGAAATCTATTAAAGAACTCTCGATGTTCGCTTTTTCGTTAAAAATCTTAATTTTGAAATAAGCCTAAAAACAAGACTTTTTTTTTAATAACACTAAATACGAATAAAATCGCACCTTTTAAATTTATATTTAATTTTTTTGTTTGTTTCTTTATAATTTTTCCGAAAGATTTTTGAATTTAGGGTTGAAAGGGGAGTCTTTTTTTTACCTATGGGAAAGTTGACTCAAAATGGAATGAGAGATTCCCTCGTAATACCTCGTTAAATTTGACAAAAAAATGACAGGAATTGGTAACAAGTTGAGATTACAAAAAGATATAATTATTTTATAAAATTAAAAATTTGGGCCGGGTCGATTTTTATAAATCAGTTACCTTTGAGGCAATTTAGAAAATAGAGGGAGAAAAATTTCGAAATAAAGAAAATGTAAGAAATTATGGGTACGGGCTGTAAAAGGAACAAAAATAAACATCTGGGCTAGGGCCAATGACATATAATTATACCTAGACTGACGATGCAATCATTATAAGTGTACATCACTGAAAACTGCTGGGGACGCCATTTTGATTACGCATATCATTATTAAAAAAATTTAACGAGAGACCAATTTATTCCTAAGCATGACGCAAACTTTAATTAAGAATTGATTGATCATCGAGATAATAACAAGTTATCAATTTAATAGTAGCTTTTAACATAAGGATAATTATTATATGGGTTACCAAAATGGCGGATCCAGCTGATTTGCACACAACGACGCTTTCAATTGCATTATTATGAACTATATGGGTTACCAAAATGGCGGGTTCAGCTGATTTGCATTCAACGACACTTTCAAATATAATATTATGAATGCATCGACAGTCTAGGTATTATTATATGTCATTGGATAGGGCTAAAAAAATTTCAGGCTCGAGCTTATCCTAACAGGACCTAAAATTTGACCATTTTCAAGGTGTCTGGCATGTATAGCAAGTTATACGTGAAATATAAAACCCTTATATTTCCATTTTTCTTATTCCCTCACCAAATAAAAGGTAAAATCATAAAATATTGTATATAAATTTTTAAAAAAATTAATATAATAATAATATAACATAGAATTCTTTGGGGGGAGGGGGGGGGGTAACAAAATTATATTGGAGAAAAAAGAGATATTCGGATAACGAGCTATTGATTATTTGATAGGGCTAGACATGGCGGTTGTGCTAGAGTGAAGACCATAACCATAGTTAACGGCTAGGATGAGTGTTTGAAAATCGTTCACCGAAGCCGGGTTGTTCATGTTAGATTTGTAATCTTATTTTAAAAAAAGAATTTCAGGTTAATTACAAATAATTTGTTTAAGTCTCCTCCTGCTGTAACCTAAGTTTATACATTTCATTTCCTTTTCTTTCTTTTTTCTTTCTATGACTCAAAATATTTAAATATAATAAATGTAATAGGACATGTTCAAACATTATAATAATTGTATATTTTTGATATTTAAAAAAAAAAACTCAAATTGGAATCGGACATCAAATTTTCCTTGGTGTTAGATAAGTGGTTAAGTACTGAAGTGGATATCTTGTTCATAGTGTTGCTCTGCTTCTGAACGAATTCCAGCGATATTTGACCGCATCTTTGGAGGGTCTGACTATCTCGGAACTCGATTTCGGGATCTAGCTTGGTTCTCATGTAATTAGGGACTACCTCGTGGTTGAAAGCCTTTACGCGACCTTCAGTTAGACCCTTATAATATTTTTTTATAAGGATTTTAGTTTTTTTAAAACCTAACCATAAGGTTTAAGTTCTCAATTACTTACGTGAATGTTAAAAATACTGTGCACCAATAACTTGAAATTAAACTACGATCATGTGTTTTTAAAATAAATGAAAATAGAATATATAGGAAAGACCAACAAATATGTAACAACTAAAATAAATGCGCCTAAACCAAAAAACATGAGAATTGAAAGCGTTTGTTGGACTCCTTACCTATCATCATCGCTTCATTCCAAAATTCGCAACAAAATTATGGTCACTATGTAATCAATTACAAAAAATAATCGATGGATATGGCCAGAAATTTGTGATAACACATTTCTTGATTTTTAAAAAAAACATGTGAGGTATAAATAGATTTTTGGTATTTTTTGCCCAACCCTATATTAATATTGTAATGATGGGCTTGCCCTGCCAAAAGTAGAGGCAGACAAACATTAAATACCTAAAGCTCTGTTTTTGACATAACAATGATGTATAATTTATAAAATTTGCCATGCCCTGATTTATTAAAGTTACAATATAATGCTTCTAAATATAATTTTATTTGCAATTAAATCAATGATTTTTTTTAAAATATTTTATTTTAGTTTTGAAATGGAAAAACTTCAAATGATTTGGTGGGAAATTTTAAAATGATAGATAAATAAAAGGTGAAGGAAAATTTCAAATCAATATTATTCATAGAACAAATTAGTATCATATTTATTCCTGTTATGAATGTGTTAAATAAATTTAAATTGGAATATATATTCATTAAGATGTAGGAATAAGCAAAATTTTGAAAAAATATTTTAGCCAGAATTTCAATTTTTTGGCTGGGGGGAGGTGGTCTGCCTGTTACCACTACATATACAACTGGTTTAGAGTGAATAAAATATGCTCAGTGTAATTCTATGCAAATTAAGAAACAATTTTAGACTATATAAAGAAGTCTAATCTACAAATAAAAATTTATACTTAAGATAAACCATGTAATAATTTATAAATTAAACTTCTAAATTTGGATTGATTTCTGGCTCCAATAAAATTGGTAAGAAGGCAAAATTTCTAAGATTTGGCCCTTTCATATTCTTTAGATATCTATTTAACGAGTTAAAATGGCTAGCTAGAAGTGCAAAACTATCTAATATTGATGGCCTATATATTTATTGTAAATAGATCCTTTTGATATCAATAGTATTTAAAAATAATAATATACCAGTTTTGTGAGGCATCTTCATGTTCAATCTTTAATAAAACATTAATTACAGAGCTTTTTATATCCTCAACCTTTTGAATGAGGTTATCTAAAGCGGTCTCTAGTTGCTTCTCTAATTTCTATAATATTTTTTATAAAAGTTTAGTTCGCAAAAATACTTGTTTGCTGCTCATATGTTTTAGATGAATGAAATAATATAAATTTTTCTTATCAATTAGAAGTGTCCGAAAATAGTAATTTAAAGAATTATAATAAAATAATGTATTTTTTTACCCCTTTATTCTATATAGGATACCCCACCGATTTAAAAACTTTGGTACCACATTTATTGAGTCAAATCACCAAACTTTATAAAAATAATTTAATGTTGATATGTAAATGGAATATATGTTTTAATCTTTTATAGTAAACAAATAAATTACATTTTTAATTCCCTTTTATAATCATATGTCTTCCAGTATAAGATTAATAAATATATAAATTATTTATAGTAAGTAGACTTTATGAAAAAAAAACCATTTTATCGTCTTAAATAAGTATAAATTATTTAGACATAACAAATTTTAAAACTTAAAAAAAATAATACCTAAAGGATACGTAACATATAAAAATTTAATAATTAAACAATTTATGCCTTGATATAAAATAAATAATATCTAGATTTAAGATAAATAAACTATTAACAAATACTTCTTAAGACTTTATAATAATATTGAAATTCTTAATAATTTTAACTTTGATATAAGAGTATAAAAAATTTGAGCAAAAAATCTTTGAAGATCACAAAATTGAGTATAAAAAATTTGAGCAAAAAATCTTTGAAGATCACAAAATTGAATATAAATAATTTCAAAAATTTTGAATTTATCATGAAAACCTTTTTATTCTAAAAAATCTCACAAGATAGATTTTATAAAAAAACGTGATTTTTTTAAAAAATCTTCATTAAATTTAGTGATTAAAACTTATAAGATTCTATATTTTGTATAGCATTCCAAACTCTGATTTAAAGTTATCTTGAACTGATTTCTAAAAACAAATTTATTTGATAATTATCTAAATGATTCCTATGCTTTATTATTAATTCTTTATATAACGGTTAGATGCTAAAATAAATTTATACACTATAAAGAATCCCCTGTGGAATTTAAGCAAATGCACGAATTTCATTTGGCTTAAAATTTCCAAATTTTTTTTTTCAATTATGCTTATCAAAGAATTGTAAGTTCATTACATTTTAACATATTTAATCATATTTTCTAAAGTCGAATCGTTTTACCTCTGACTATCCAAGAAGTAATTATACCTATAATGCTAATTTAATTTTTTATAAGTATCAAGTGGCTCAACTTTATTCTGTAGCAGAAGCTAGTAAGAATGAAACTGGTGGTGGAGAAGGTGTAGAAGTATTAGTAAATGAACCTTATGAAGGAGAACCTCTATTTAATAATCAATACAATACAGGACAATATACTCATAAAATATATCATATTGAACAGTAAATCATCCTAGCTAAACATTGCACATTTATTATTAATTTTTAGAAAATTGCCCAATTATCTACGTTTGTTAGCACCAAAGAGTGTTTTTACATTCCATGAAATTGCTTGGAATGCCTACCCTTATTGTAGAACAGGTAGAACCACCTCTTTTTTATAAATTTATTTGACATAATTAAAATAAACAAATTTTATTAATTGATTATTGTTCAATAATCCCCTTATTATATTTGAATAAATGTATTTTTTTTTATAATTTAGTCATAACGGTAAGTAAAATCCATCATCGTAAGTTGAAATTCTCTTTTATTTATATTAAATTATTTGCTACCATTTAAATGATATTTTGTATATAGATCAAAAATTTATACCAGATTTTTTATTATAAATTATTTTATATCTAATTTCAAATAATTTTGCCTTTTGTATTGCTTCAAAAGAAATTGAGAATATGAGCAGTAAATAAGTATTAACCTATCTATATGATATTTTTAGATTAATTGTTATAATAAAAGTTTAAATAGGTCCTGTCTAAATTTTATATAAAACAATACTTTGCTTTTACAAATTTATTTTATGGGCTTTGACCCAGGCCTGCAAGTACATGATATAAAATATATCATAGAATAATTTGGGATCAACAAAATTTTTGCAATTAATTTGCCTATTATTTTATTATTAGAATCCTGATTATATGAAAGACAATTTTGAAGTAAAAATTGAAACTCTCCATCTACCTGACAGAGGCACCTCTGAAAATGTAAGAAATTAATCTTTATTTTATAAAATGATGTAATTTAATTATAACAGACAGATAATTAATTATCAGAGCCATATCAATTGGATATCTTAACTTATCCCAAAATTAAAATTTTTTTGAAAAAATTTACCCAGACCTAAACCAATTTGGACCCAGGGGGATAAACTTTGTAGGTCTCTAGTATAAATATAACATTTTTGCTAATACCAATACCCCTGGTTGATTGACAACTTTGATACTTTGCCTAAGAATCTAAATTTTGATAATGAAGTCTTCAGAGATTTTTGAAAATGCTTAAACAGGATTTGATCAAAATTTACCCTAAATTCCAAATCTTTTATTTTTGTAAAAAACTTTAATAATTTTTATGCATAAAAAATCTTTCATATTGAAATCACAAATTTTAGAATGTTATTTTTTTTCAACTTTTCCTGCTATTTATACTTATATATTAAAAATATTATATAATATTAGGGCCACACTTTACACATTAATTGCTTAAACCTTCAAGTAAGTTATGATAGTTAATAGTTATCTATACCTAAATCTAATTATTTGTTATTGGATTCTATTTTATCTTTTATTCATAAAAATGGCAAAATATTTACTTTTCCTTATAATAGATTTGGAATTTTTATTTTAAAATTTGATTGAAGAGCATTTCAAACTCTAAATACCAATAAACGATGTTTCATTAATTTCGCTGGTTTCTAATTGGTCAAACTAGAAGGTTCCAAAATATTAACTCAATCTTTTAAAAAAAATTATATATATATATAATAAATTAATAAATATAATTTTTAGGCTCATAATTTACCTAAAGACGTTTATAAGAAGGTTCAAATAGTCAACATTGATATAGCAGACGATTCTTCCCTCCCTAAAGCGGTTTATAAAATGTTTTTTTATTTTTAAGAATTAGGGCCGGATACGATTTAACAGCTGATCGATTTTTAAAATCTGTCTAAAAGATTAATGTTTCTTAGATTATTAATCATGAATAGAATTAAAGATAAAATTAATGCTAATAAAGAAAATTTGATCTCTTAAGACTGATTTTTAAAGAATACGATCAGCTGTTGTTGGATCGGATCCCACTATAAATCCGACCAGGCCTCATTTATAGGAAAGGCGTTATCTTCAAGCGTTGCGTTATTTAACGCAGCGTTATGACAGCTGATTCAGTTTTATAAAACTAATTTAAGATTTTTATACAATATATTTTAAAAAAATCATATAAATTTTTTTTGCAAATTCGCTATTATTTTTATAATAGTATCGCATATTTCTTTATCAATGCGGCACAACATCTGTTTTTCAAATTTTATCAACGTTATCATCATAGCGCTCCATATTTATTATCTTGATTTTTATAAATAAACGCTGCTTTGAATAACGCAATGCTTGAACATAACACGTTACCTATAAATTAGGCCTTAGAGGTAGAAAGGAAGGAATAGTAAACTATATTTTATACATATATGTCATATATAATCTAGAGATCCATATCCCATATTATTGTTTTGTGTCATGTTTGAATTTGAATACTCAAAAAATATGAATCTCTTCCTGTCCTAGTTCTATCATATGTTCAAAGTACCTGGATATCTAGGGACTGAACCTAAAATTTCTAGCGTTCAGAGATCCCATTTTAAAAATTTCCAGGAACCAGTTTCTAACATGAGTGACTTTAATTTATAATGTATATTGTTCGAAATATTTATAAAATTCATTTTGGAAGTAATTAGGGGCTTTTTTGCATCTCATTGCAACAGAATTTACCAACATTAGCCTAGAATTCTCGGAACCACGTCAAATCTATGGCTGGCCTTTTCTAAAAAAAAGGAATTTTTTCTAAAATTTAAAGAGTTCTGATTCTCGTCTCTTACTGTTTGCGTACATATTAATAATTAACTTGGTCATATGAATATCGATGATAAAATTTAATATATACCTAGGCACGTATCCAAACCGAAACGAATATCGGTTCAGGTTCATGTTCGGATAAAAATAACGTTCAGGTTCGGTTCGCAAAAAATAAAAATATCGGTTCGGTTCGAACCTCTAAAAAACGGTTTGAACACTTTTGTATTCAAACCTACTTTAGGATTATGTATAAGGAAAAAAATTTTTTTATTTCATAATTAAAATAAAAACCTTCATTTTTATTAATTGCACAAATATTTAATTTATAAATATAACAAATAAATATATCAATGAATAATTTTAATATGAACAATTGCTTAAATTTTTTTATTAAGTTGCACAATTAATATATTTTCAAAATTCGCCTCACTCAAATTACATCTAGGAGATAATATAAATTTAATTGTTGAAAAACATCTTTCCACACTAACTTGGGTAGCTGGCATTGCCAGTATGACATCAGATTTGATGTGTCATTTATAATATATTTGTTTATAATTTATATATTATTTTTAATTTTTTTCTAGTCATTATAAGCTTAAAATATTAAAAAAATGTTGTAAAATGGCAATATACTAAAGTTTATAAAAATTATGACTGACGTTTATCAGTCACATTTGATTGATAATTTTAAAAACAATTTGAATATAATTAAAATTTTTACAATATACTAATTTTATAAGCATAAAATTATTAGCGGTTTGGTTCAGGTTCGGCTAAAAAATTTTTAGAGGTTTAGGTTCGATACCGGGTTTTAGCGGTTTAATGGTTTGGTTCAGGGTCCGTTTGGATTCCTGTACATAGGGGATGTTTAAAAAAAAACTTAAATTATTTTTTTTCCAAAAATAAAATACAGGGGGGGGGGTGGATCTTAAATATTTTATTAAAAATGTTAAACTCAAAATATTTAAATAATGTATTAGGGCGCAACAATTATTGTTAAACGGTTCGATTTCACCGATTTTCTAAAAATGACTAATTCTTGATTTTAATCACACATTTGGCCCATAGGTTGGAAAGATATATCGGCGAAATTTCGAGGTTTATATGATAATATTTTTAGTTAATTTAACCGTTTTCAAAAATTTACTCGAGTCGTTTAACAACACCCCTGTTGTGTACGAAAAGATGATCAATCTTTAGGGATGTTAGCCGAAAAATTTGCGACATAATATTCGCAGATCATATTTTATACAGAATGTTGAAACCGTCGAGTATAACGTTTTTTTCGGTTTTCTTCGGTTTTCTTCGATGTACCGATTATTTTTTCAAGCAAATTTATATGGTTGTTTATTTCCGTTTGTTTCGTTTTTTTTTTATTTTTGAAAAAAAAGAAGTTTTGAATATTTTTCTTAATCATATAATATTTGTGTCTTTTTTGTGATATGGAATTCATGTTCTTCCGATTATAAATTATATACTGAGGGCTTGTTTTAAATTTTTTAAAAATTCTGAGTTGACCAGATATTGTAGATTACCCACAATGTGAATTTCAAACAATTTTTGCCGAGAACTACTCTTTAAATTTATGTTAATTTTTCATTAAAAAAATTTAAAAAAAAATATATATATACAAATATTCATGGCGGAAAAAACTATCTTAAAATTAAATATAGGGTAGGCACCCTACATAAAGCCGAAATCTATCTTTCGGTTAAGAGGGATTTTTTTAAACCGCCCTTTGAGATTTCTGAATGCCCACGAATTCCGCCATATCCCTTTACGACACATTGCGTTTTTTTTAAGAGAAAAAATAAATTAATCCATCATTAATCTTGTAAAGATTTGACTAGTTGAGTTATCTTTATTTTTATTGTGAAACTTGAGTTAGGACCTAACGAATTAATGATATAACCACACATTACATTTCGTACTGTTGAACCAATTAACGAAATATTTTAAATGATATTGATCATTTAAATATATATCGAATTTAAAAACTGGTACGAACCTGTTCAATATTATTTGTAACGTTTTGATTCTCTCCTTTCGAAATGTTCTCATAACGGTTCAATTAGGAATACGGTTCAGAATATTTTAACCGTTTATTTTGGGTTCGCGGTTCGATTTGGGTTGACGCCCTGATATTATAATAACCAATAAAAAACTACGTGTTTATTTTTTTCCCCGAAAAAACTGGGTCTTTGTTTCACTAATTATAACCTATTAATTTATAAAATATAAATAATTCAGGATAGGAAAGCGGAAACGGATCCTGCGAAATTCCATTCCACCAAAACTGGCAGAGGTCCTCTAATAGGAGATTGGAAAGTATTATCATTGAAATTTATGTTGTATTTTTTTGGATTTTATATCGAGTATTGTCAAGCCCAATTGGAAGATAGGATTGGTCCGCCATTTTATATTTTAATCATGAATACAGTTAAACTTGTTTAATTTAAGCACCGTTGGGACCGTGCCCATTTTAAACAAAAGTGGCTAATAGAAATTTGGACTGGGGCTTAAATTTTTATTCAAATTAGGGAGTATCACAATTATCAAGAGCTACAATTAGATAAGTTTTACTGTAATATCTAATTTACTAGAAACATTTATTTGCATATTTTAATTAATTTAACGCATTTGATTTTTAGGCTACAGTGGAACCCGCGATGTGCTGCTACAAACTTGTGTCTTGTAACTTCAAATGGTTCGGTTTACAAACAAAAGTCGAAAATTTCCTGATGGATGTGAAAAAAAATTAAATGATTATAAGATTATTATTTTTTGACTCATTTGACTGGAAGAAGATAATATTTCCATAGAATTATATAATTTTGAATATTTTATTAATACCCGGGTTCTAAGGACCAAACTAGCCTAACTCGTTAAACCCCGAAACTGAAACGTCAAAATTTTTTAGCACTAAAACCGAACTTAAAATGGACCTTTTGAGTACGTTAGTTTGCTTTCGATTATTTTTTTTCCCCTAACCAACCTGAACTTGAACCGTCATTTTTTACCGAACCGATAAATCTGTACCCCTGCCTTAAACCCATTTTATCAAATCCAACATCACCCTAGTAAAACAGGAAAATTAAATATTTTGTCCAAACCAATCTGATCCGATTTTTTGTCAAATATATGATCCGATCTAAGGTCGAGTTCAATCCGATCATAAGTTTTTCTTTTCTATTGGACTGGTTTGTAAGAGCACAATATCTAAAAATTATGAACACCGAAGGTAAATAAACAATCTTATTAGTTAATCTTGAGTTAAAAACCTTAGACTTTCAAACCCGAAGCCTGAGAGCGTGGGTCTACTATTATATTTTCTAGCGGACCTGGACGGGTATTTGGGTTTTAAAAAAAGAATTTTTTTTTAAATAGACCAGGCTTTGGACCTAAAAAAAATTTTTTTCATTTAAATTTAGCTTATTTAAAATAAAAGTTGTTAATTTACAAAAGAATAAAAATTATCCCAATTTTTTTCTTCTAATAATAATAAACTTCAGTATTTTCAAAACAAAATGATTTCCTAAATGCACACCAAATTAGTGATCTGCATCGGGCATCGGGCCTAATAAACGTTTTGCCGACCTGAATTTATTTAAATATAGAAATTAATTTTTTTTTAAAAAAAAATTATTATGCCCAAAATAAAAGATATATGTCATATGACTTTTAGTTTCCATAAATAAAATCATTTTTATTTTACATAAAAAATTCAATATAAAATTTATAAATAATTTAAGGTCCGAATTACCTACTTTTGTAGATCTCTACCCGAAATATTGTTAATTTTTTCATTGAATTACAATAAATCAAATTTTTGGACATGGTATTGGGCAGGGGCTGTTGCGAAATTTTTGAAACTTATTATGGACTTGGGTAGGGCTTGGGAATTTTTTTTACTGCTAGCCTGAGTTGCCTCATCCAAAATTCCTGGCTCGTGAAGGTCTCTCCCCCAGAACTTATATTTTGTGAATATTTAAATTATATCGATTTATTCCATTTGGAAGATGAGAGAACGGAGCGTTTTAAATAATATTCATTTAACGGCTCATTTTTTTCAATTTCCCCTTTTGTAAACGTAAAATTTGTCAAAGGTCTGAATTCGATTCGAAAATAAATTTTTTAAAAATCCGAAGTTGACATCCAACCTATTCTAATAAAAAAAAATTGGTGTGGACTCTCTGCCTCCCATATGTGGGCAAAATCGGTAAGATTTAGATCGGTCCATGCAATTTTTTAGTAAACTCATAATTATAAAGAGTAGATATATATTACCATCTAATTCTAACAACCTTTTATGCTAACATGTTGGAAAACCGGTTTTTAAAAATTCAAACCAATTGATATTATTATTTTTACGAATCCAAACCTTAAACCGATATTTTTATCTGACCCGAACCGATATTCGTTACGGTTCGACTTCGTGCCTGGGGATGACATTTTAAAATGCAGATGTTTGTAGTGAAATTTTGTCATGAACTTTTGTTAATATAATTTTTTATCAGTCCATGGATCTTTTTTATATAAATTATAAGAAGGTAGCTGTAGAATTGTATGAAATGAGAATATATCTTCGGTAAAATCAGAATTTTAAATGTTAAAAAACGCGCTTAAATGATTGATTTTAAAGTTGAAAAATAAAGCATATTGACGCTAACATATATACTTGTTTATTAAGAGATTTTTTTATTGATTTAACACAGGTTTGGAACGAGAGTTTTTAAAAGTATCTTGATACAAAAATGTGGTATTTGTATCTAGATCCATTTTTAGGTGATGTATCTCTGTCTACTTCTATTTGAAAAGTACCTCTTAACATTTCTGGTTGGAATGATCGAAACCGCATCAAATTTGACCAATCAGAATCTTTTTAATTTTTCGAAATCAGAACCATTTTTAATCCGTGTTTCTAACTTCAGAAATTAGTGTTGTTAAACGGTTGATTGATAATAAATGGAATTTAGCTTACTTATTAAATAATATAATATGATTTTCAAAATATATTAAAACAAAAAATAATTTTTTTTTCGTAAAATAATAAGACGCTAACTTGCGGATTTAATATTATTAAAATTAACAATATATTTATAATTATTTTTAGGTCTGTGCTGATCCACATATTTTTTATCTGATCCTATATTGGTTCAAAACCGATCCGATACCGATCCAATATTATTTTTCATCACCTCACTTTAAACGAAATGTAATTAAGACAATATTTTTAATGCAAAAAATCGAATTGTGCAATTAATTTTATTTCTTCAATAATCAAAAAATTTTTACGAATATTGGTCATACAATATTAAATGAATTAAGTGAATTTTTCATTATTCCTCCCCTTGAAATTAGAATTCAGCACATAACGCGTTTTGCAAATTTTTATTGTTTTTTGTAAAATATTTCCATAAATTTAAGATACAATATTTAAAAAAATTCTTTTATTTAAAATATAAATAATAAAATTGGCGTTATTATTTAAAAAGATTTAAAATAAATAAAACTTTGGGTGTTCCTTTCTATTCTTATAAAAAACTTTTAAAATACTATAAAATCTATTTAAAAAAATAAATAAAATTTAAGGGGTGTTGTACATTTGCATTGTTTAAAAAAAAATTATTTAGAAAATATTATTAATTTAAAATAAATATACATAAAATAACAAAAAAAAGCATAATAAAAAGATCGGAATTTTTTACGAGTATCGGCCCGATCCGATATTTTTTGGAAAACGCTAAATATAGGTGCTGATCCGATATTAATATCGACACAGCCTTAATTATTTTTAATATAATTAAATTAAAAGATTTAAAACTATATATTATGATGTGTTGTTAAACGGCTCGATTTAAGCCGACTTTAAAAAATGGCTAACTCAATATTTTAGCTGGAAAAATATTGCCTAAGCCTCGATATTTCGTTAATAGATGTTCTTTGAGCTACCTGAGCAAAATCTTAAGGCTTGCATAATATTTTTCTTAATAAATTATTAAGTTATCTGTTTTTAAAAATCGGCTCAAAATGAACCGTTTAACAACACTATCGAAAATAATGCACCTTAACGTTTTGAATCATATTCAATATAAAACATTTTTCCCCGATTTATAAACATAATTTTTGATTATAATATAAAATTATTTAAGATCGAAAAACGGCTGTTCACCAAATTCCACAGGGAGTTGTTTTGTTGGATTGACAGATGGCACGGTCTAAGTATGAAAGATATTCGGAGTTTGGAGGAAAGAACGAAAGCGGAACTGGACAACGTAATCATTATTTTTTTTAAATAAAAGGGATGTAAATGGCGGGGAAAAGCGGAATAATAGTGCGCACATTGACCTTTTACATTTTGGCGTAATTTTTGAATAAAAGAGACATCGCGCGTCACTTGTTTAAATTAAGGCTGTCTTTTTATTAATATCCGTCTATTCCAAATTTTTAAATAAATTCTTAAAAAAGGATTTGTCTTTGAAAATAATATTATCGTCTGCTTTCTTATTTCTTTAATTTCTAAATATTCCTTTTTTAGGATTATAAGTAAGTTATTTATATTACATTTTTATAAAATATTGCAAAGCGAAGAATTAAAAAAAATATTGAAAAAGCAAACCTATTTGCGTTTTTTTAAAATGGTTTAACAGCCAAACGTTAATTTTATAAATTTGCACGAGGCCATTTGAAAGGCATTATTGGCGCTTGCAACGCAGCGTTTGTAACACTCAATTTGTTCGCACTATAAGGGAATGATGAAGAAAAAAATAAAGACTAGAAGGGGAAGTAAAATATTAGTAGTAGCGGATATAATTACTAATGAAAATTAGTGGGGTGGGTAAGGGGTCTAGAGAAAACATATTCTATTTTTTAAATCTGTCGAAACCAATCACTGTATTTGATACAAATTTTTTGGGTAAAAATTATTATAAAATGTATTCCAACTAATAGCGTTAAAGGGTAAGAGCACGGAAAAAACGAAATATTGGGAATCTCGCCTACTAGAAAATTTTGAAAGTAAATTTTGAAATTGATATTGGTAGGTGCCAGGGCAGTAAATACATCTATTTAGAGTTTTTTAAAAAATGGACGAAATATTCTCCACATTTTTTACAGATTTTTATAAAAATTTTATTTAAAAGCAACGTAAAATCATAAATTAGTAAATATAATAAGAGATAATGAATATATGAACGTATAAATAAAGTGTATATTAAAATGAGACAAAAGGAATATGTATAAAAAATTTAAAAAATAGCGATGAATACCGGAGGTAGTATAAAGCGAGGAAAAAAATAAGAAGTAGAAAGAGTCTAGGATAACCCCTAGTAGACTCCATTGAAGCTGATGTAATTGGTTTTATGGATAGCTATAGCCTTTGTCGAAGAAAAAACCCCTCTCGAGGTTCTTCTGAGAGTTTGCTGATTTGAGATCTTAAATTTTTGAAAAAAACTAAGGCAAGTTTGCCGAAGGTGGCATAAATAGACGTATTTGTTTCCCTAGCATCTATTAATATCAATTTCATATTTACTTAAAAAAATTTCTAGAAGATCTGAGCCAGATTTCCAATTTTTTGCTGTTTCGTAGCAAATTTCCGTTATAGTTACCATTAAAAAAGAGCGCGCGATTCACTATATTTTTTTTGAGTAGAACTAGTTATAAAATGCCCTATATTTAGCTACTTTTAACTTTAAATTATTAAATAATTACATATTTTATAATTCAATTTTATATTGAAAAATTTTGATTTGATATTTCTGAATGTAAACCGAACCTAACTTATTTTTAACCGAACTCACCTTGAAAAATATTATGGTTAATCCAGGGCATGTGAAAATGATACCTTTAGTTATTAAAGTAACGAGCGAAATATTTCTATACAATTTTTACTCTGAGGATCGTAAGGTTTACAATTGTGTCCTCATTTGCCGATACATTGTCAATAATTGATAAATCGATTTATAATATTATTAATTAATTTATTTTTTAAAATAAAACACAGAAACGGTTGAAATGTGGTTTGTCTGGCACAACTGATTTAGAATGACATTCTCCTCAATACGCATTTCGACGAAAACATAAAATCATAACAAAAATTTTAAATTTTATCCTCCATATTTTTTTTTGTTACTACCCCCAAATTCCATATCATTTCTACTAACAATTACTTCTAATAAATTGTAGCTTGATTTGAGTTTAATATTAGTATATGTTTGGTTGCTCATTTGAATTTGTAGGTGTGCTTTACTAAATTATAATTTATCTTATGAACGAGCTCTTTATTAAATAATTTTTTCACATTTATAGTTATCGAATATATGAAAGAAAGTGAGGTATTATCACTCACAGCCTGTCATAATCATATAGTTTTAATCTTCTTTTTTTACTTCTTCTGGATATTCCAAATGCGATATACTCTTTAGAAAATTCCAAATTATTAATTATTTATTACCTTATTGCTACTATTTGAATATCTTATAAAATCAATATTATGTAAAACTCACTCCTTATAAGTCATGAATTGATAAGGATTTATTTATCGATTTTACCTCTAGTTAATTTATCTTCGCAAATTTCTGGTGATACTTAAAAAAATTTTTAGTAAATATTTATTTATTTTTATACATATTATTTAAATAGACAAAATAAAATTATGATAAATAAATATGAAACTATATTGATTGATCAAATTTGGAAAAAAATATGGTTTTTTTTTATATAATTATAATGATATTTGTTTTAATAAAAGTTATTTTGAAATTGTAAAAACTATTATATATTTATAAATAATAAATAGCCCTCTGTACAGACCAAACTTGCAATGGTCTTTGCATTAAGTCAAATTCAAAACTTGAATATTAAATTATTTTTGTTTTCCTAATATTTTATAATTATTTTCAAGAATAACCAAAAAATTGTCTCTTTTTTTGCCGTTATTTTTCTATGTAAAAAAATTTAGATCTAATATTTTGGGGCTCTTAGCCCTCTGTCCCCTAAAACGACGAGACAAACAATAATTAAGTTTTTAAATTAGAAAGCAAGGTTTAATTAAAAAATTGATCAATTGTAGCAATATAAGTCTGAGCATGAGTTTTATTAATCTTTCATCTAAGCCATTCTTCATTATATATATGCTGGAAGGTACTTATAAAAATTTACTTTGAACTAATAGCTACGATTTTAAAAGAGTAATTTATATATTCTTCATACTAATTAAAAGGATACTGTATTATATATATATATTATGTATCACCCGATGAAGATTATATTGTACAAATAAATCCAATTTTATATAAACATCTTTTTAAATAAAAATCAGAGACCTGCAGAGGTACCATATGTACGGCCTGGCCGGGATTTTTTTTAAAAATTATTTTTCATGCCCGGCTCGGCCAGGGTAATTTAAAAAAAAATAAAATACTGCCCGGTCCGTGTACCCGGGCTTAGGGCTGGGCTTCAGGCCTGATAAAATATTACCCTTAAAATGTAATTATGATTTAACATTGACATTTTTATTTGATATTTGTGCATAGATGTATATATTAGAGATCTGCAAAGTTAGACCCGGCCCAAAAATAATCGGGTTCGGGCCTGGTAAAAAAAAATTCGGGCCAGGTCGGACCTTGAAATTTTTTTTAAATTTATCTAAATTTATCAATTTTATATAAAATTTTTTATGTAAAATAAAAATATTTGATTTTATTTGTTGAAACGAAACGACATATATATATAACATATGTCTTTTAATTTGAGTAATTATAAAGATTAATTTCTATATTTAAATAAATTCGGGATGGGTCGGTAAATTTTTTTAAAAAAATTTCGGGTTCGGGCTGGGCCGGCAAAACTTTTTAAAAAATTTCGAGTTCTGGCCGGGCCGGCATAATATTTTTTAAAAAATTTGGGCCGGGCCGGGCTTGAAAAATTAGGCCCGATGCAGATCACTAGTATATATACTACTAGATTTGCGATTCATTAATTGTGCACATACGTAGGAGTAAGTTGTAGCGCCATCTTATAGCTTTGCATGTCGATTAATTCTCGTATTTATCATAATATAAATGCTTAATGTCATTTACTCCGAGTGCGAACCAAAAAATGACGCTACATCTGACTCCTATGTATGGGCACTATTAAAGAGTATTAAATGAATCAATAGTCAATCTAGTAGTTCTACCAAAAATGGGTAATTAGATTAATATTTTACTTTAAGATGATCAAAAAAATTTTTTTATTAAAAATATTCAAAGATTCATTCAAAAAAAAATTGAAGATTTTATGCTTTTCAATTTTTGAAAATATTTTTTTTTTTGAAATCAAATCAAATAATGCTGAAATTCGAATTGTTTTTTATGTAGGTATTACTAGTAGTACATATATCTACGTCATTATTATGGTCTCAGAGTTTCGAATAGAGGTTCAGTTTTTAGTTCGATTTTATAAAGGTTTGTTTTATTCCGGTTTTTTGCCCGAAATTCAGAGCGGTTTGTTCTGGTTTAGAATTTATAATGTTTCTTTTCGGTTCGTTACGGTTTTTATAAATTTTAACATCTAAAATGTAAAATTTGTTATTATTTTTAACTCATTAAAATAAAAATAATTTAATACATCGTTAGTAAAATTATTTAAATTGAAGATCTATAAGTAAAACACCAATTTAAAAGCATATTTGAAATTATAATGATTTTTCCCTAAATTAAAAGCAAATAATTATTATAAAAACTACTTAATAAAAAATATAAGAATAAACTTAATTTAGCCAAAAAATAGTTTTGTGTGATAACTATTTTAAGATTATTTCTCATCTAATTAGTAATTTGCATAATATCTATTAAATTTGTTTAACGTTAGAAATAACACGGTTAAAATATAGCAATTAACAATCAATTTATAAAAAAAATTGTAATAAAAAGCTATTTATTTTATAATATTTATTAATAAAATAACGTAGCCGAGTCTGAACTACTTTATCCCACAAGTAGTGAACCATCAATTTGGCTTCAGAAAAAAATGGCACTTACGGGATTCGAACCCAGAACCTTCAAATAGAGACATACACATATCCGAACTAGGGTAGAGACCTTATCAAAATTTGGTTCGCTCAATATCATACCATGTTTATAATATATCTAACATTAGCCATTAAATTGAATATATAATAAAGTAAACTTAATAAATTTGCTAAAGGCGATTTTATTTAAATTAAAAATAATTTAAAAGGAAATTACGAATTTAAATTGCCTCTAGGAAAATCAAAATTTCAAATTTAGGTTAAAAATTTATATTTTAATGAATAAAGGTTTTATTTTTATTTAAAAACGATTATAATTTACAATAAAAGGCAGAAAAAATAAATGTGAGGAGGTGCCTATAGGTTATGACACCGTGGATTGATATACTATGTGACCTACAAATTTCCATTGAAATTCGTTGACATAGGTAAAAAAAAACCTTCCTGAGAATCATCCGAAATTAAACGCATTTTTTGGCAGAGTGCTTTGAAGAAATCCTAGGCTCTGGGTACAAAAGCACCGATTGTGCCAGAAACAATGGGTGTTAGGAATGTTAGTTATTAATTTTTCTAATTTCCGAACTAAGAAATTATAGCTAAAGGATGGTGCAAACCGATCAAATAATCCCTGGCTAGCGGAATTATTCCATGGAATATGTTTTATTCTGTCAGGCCTGACATTCTCCCCTAGATTAAGACCTATACAGGCTTCATTGATGGAATATTGACTGAACTGAGAGTTCTAGCATTAATTGAATTTAATGCTTGGTTGCGTAGATGGGGGCCTTTATAAAATTGGCATTGAAGGGGTTGGAGACCTAGACTGTCGACAGGGAGCTGATAGTTTGCAAGATGAGTGTACGATATCAGAGCCTAAACGAATATTTATTTCTATCCGAAGTTCTTCGGTTATCCAAGTTGGAGCTAGGGATAGCATTGTGCAATTCATAGCCTGTTTAAATGTTGAATTGATGATAGAGAATTACTATTTTGATTTATTGGGGGGGGGAATCAATACTTAGATTTATTGTGGAAGAGATACCTGGGTTAGATCTAGGACATGCCCTTCAAAGCAGCGTTCGAATAAAGGATTTCAACGGAATGGTGGGTTAAAGGTAAGTCCCAATATTGTCGGAAGGATAAAGGGAAGGGGGCATTTGACTTCTATAGGTCTAGTGCCAAACCCAGATGGAAATCTGTAGTAAAAATGTTAATAATTGTTGACTTGGTGTATGATGAGAAAGCTGCAATACTCAGTGAGACAGGGATTCAAAAGCCTATGCCCCCAAATTTTCTCGAGTAAAATTAATTATTAACCAGTTCAAAAATATTTATAGTTCGGTTCACACTTTTATATTTCTTTATAACGGTTCAGAAAATAATAACGATTTGTTAGGAGATCGCGGTTCAATTCTGTTCGAAACCCTGATTGGTTTGAAGAATCACCATATTTTTAAAAAATAATTTTGTACATTTTCATCATTATATATTCCCAGTGGAATGATTTATTTATTTCCAATATACTAACTATATCTTAACTAATCCAACTTCGACCAATTGGATTCTGCCCTGAATAAAAATTTTATTTTGGAATAGATTGGATTCTAATCTTAAAAAATCTTTAAATATTTTGTTTTTTTAAATATATATATTAGATTTTTCTGCAGCGTTTAAATTTCCAGCTTTTGTTAAAATAGTACTGTTGTAATATAATAAATATTTATTTATTAAACAAAAAATAATTGATAAAAATATTATATTAAAAAAGAAATATATTATATTTTGTAAAAATCGGTGTTTATTAATTATTCTTTTTTGTGTAAAATCGTGAAAAATATATATAATAAAGAAAAATAAAGGAGTGTCAAAAATATTTTGCATTTGACAAGAAAATCCAATAATAAAAAAGTATAGAACATAAGGTTAGAACAAGTACTTTTTCAACAGTCCAATATAAAAAAACTTGATCTATTTCTAAAATAGAATTTTGGGACTTAGATAGTTGAAAAAAAAATTTATCGGATTTAATCAGTTCATAAAAAAAAATTTTTGATTAGGTTGGGCTTAGAAAAATAGATTCTGATGTAGTACTCTAAATCCTTAATATTTTTTAAAAATAATTGATACAAATTCCAAAGAACTTAAGACCCAATAATATAATACCAGTGGAAATTCACATCTTCATTCTTTACAGTTATATAGCCAGAATTTTCCTAATTCATATGGTCAGGGTTCTGGACTCAAATTCAGGGTCATGAATTTTAAGCTATTTAGCAGAAATTTTGATAATAGGACCCATATTGAAAACCGATTTCTAAGAGGTCCAAACACGCGCCCTGTCCATATTAACCAGGGTTGCCCATAAATCTATCTCTTGTCTCAAAATGCCCAACAAAACAATTTTAAATATTTGAACCCTAATAAGAGTCTAGAACCCTGCTTTACTCTCTACCTAAAATTTATATTGGAGGGCAATTGGCCAGCCTAATTTTGATGGGCAAGTTACTAAAATAATTTTAGTTTTACACTTTTTAAAAAAAAAATTCTGAAAAATAAAATTATTATACTTATTATAAAATTT